TCTGATTAGGTTGGCGATTTTTCTGCTTAAATTCCATAGCCGCTTGTCGACCAACAGACGCCTGATTTTGGCGATTGAAATTTGTTTTTGATTTAGACCTTTTGTGTACGCCACCTTCACCAATCCGGTCTCTTCGATCGTTATAATCATCCTGATGATTATTCCGTGAATGACTCTGTCTTTCGGATCTATCAGACTTTCCCTCTCTCTGACGCCTTTCCATACGATTTTCTTTCTCTTCCCGTGTCCGGCCGGATGAACGACGTGATTTTCCAGAATTTTCATTTAAAGCTGGGAAATCGGATGGCTTTGGAGGCTTGCGTTCCTTATTATTTGTCTTAAGGTAGGCACTTTCGTCTTCCCAATTGCGATTATATTTACTGGGTCCCCGACCATACCGACGTCTTCTACGTGCCTTTGGCGGTGCATCCTCGGTGCGTATGTCATAACCATAGGCAGATACCAGCTCTGTCCTGGACTTAGGCGCCTGTTCCGATGGATCAAAACGATCATGTGACCAGCGGTCGACAGCAGAAGCAGGCTGCCATTTCTTCATAGTTTTTGAAGCTGTCGAGATTGTGGGTGTTGTCTTCGATCCTCCAGCATTACTACCACCGCCGTTTGCGGTTGATTGGCCATCGGCATCTTCAGAGCCCTCCACCTCAATACATTCACCATCCTCAGCAGTACGATCGTCATGTTCATAAAATGTACCCCTTTTGGGAATGTATTGTGGATTACTTCTGTCTTCATCGACTTTTTTCTGAGCTTCAGCATCGACTTTCTCCTGGGAAGTCATGTCACCTTCGACACCTTCATCGTCGTCCTCATCATCATCATCAGTTTCCGATTCGTCGTCCTCGTCATCATCCTCATCGGATAAACTATCATCCAAATCATCATCATCGTCATCATATTCCTCCCCACCCTCCAGATCACTGGCTGTATCATATTCCGAATCGTGGGGATGTGAATTGCTCGATTTTTCTTGTGTCGGGGAGGTTCCTAAATCATTAGATGTAGCATTACCGTCTGATTGCACCCCACCCTCCATCTTACCATTTGTTCCCAGCGAACCGGCGGCATCAGCCGCGCTGGAATTCGTGACGGTCACAGGCGCTGCGGTTGCTGGCGCAGCTGCTTGCGAGACATTTTCAACATCAGCCATTACTTTGCTATCGCTTCGATTTTTCAACTATTCTCTCTAGTGTGTCACACGGCTTCTTCTATCTAGACTGAAATTTTATTTTTAATTTTTTCCCAGAATATTTACATAATCACTTTCGATTTATTTCGAATACGAACCTTTGAAATGCTAACCAATGTATTAGAAATATAAATTTTTATAAATTCTAATGACTTCTGTGGTCTGTTTTTTTGCTTATTTGGTGAAAATTTTTAGGTGTTTTCTCAACGCAATCAAATCACCAAAAAATAGAAAGTAATATTGTTGTAAAAGTATCGGTTAATGCGAATACCGGTTAATCATTTAGTTTTTCTTCTAAATGGATTTCCATGGCTGGGTAAAATGATTTGTTGCTGTGTTAATTTACCATGGGATTGTGTCAATGATAACATCACGCCTAAAAGTATGCTGTGAAAAGCATAAAATAAATTGCATAGCAATGTTCGCAGTACAATGCCAAGATATTAAAAAAAATAAAACGATTTTAGTAAAATGAATTTGGAAAAAGGTAAGAGAACCGCATGAATAATGTACGCTACTGTTTAATTGATTCGCAGCTGTACATAAATTAGACCCTTTGCTATCGTGAGGAGTTATTTGACAATTATTTACAAAATATTATTTACAAAATACGCATTGTCAATGTTGAAAATTTTCAACTTTATATTTTTATACGCAATGCGTATTTGGGTAACATTCATTGAAATACATGTATTTAACATTTGAGGTGAATAAATTCGTACGCATACGCATGAATTTAGGTACGACCCTAATGAATAACCATTTCAAAGTTTATGTCAAGGTGTATTAAATAAGGTGTATGCATCAGCTACAACAACTAACATTTTACAAAAACAACATTGCTGTTATAGAAATTAAATTGTCATGTTGACAATTAGTTTTTGACAAAAATAAATAAAAACAATTATCCATTTATGTTTATTAATTTTTGTCAAGAACTATTCTTTGAAGAATAATTAAGGAATTTGTATTTTTTGGATTTTTGGCAATTTTAAGTTTAAGAACCGGTCACGAATTATTTTGAAATGTTTCCTGGTGATGTTGCTTATATTGTAAATTACAATTTTTTCGAAGAATTACCTTCAAATTTCGCCTCTTTAATGGAAGTTTGGTGGACGTAAATCCCCGGCCAAAGACTAAATCAAGGAAATTGTGTTGCCTTTGTGCAATCTGTCTATAGGAGTATATCAAAGACTTTCACCTTTGGATTGATTTTTGGAATCTGCCTATTCCAATATAGGCTACGTATGTGTAGCTAGGATTTATGAACAGATTTCAACACGGGATACAAAACGTAAACTTTTGGATCAAATCAGCGAAAAGGTTTAAAACTGATTTAAGCCTAGGTTTGCTTTTCGTCCCTCACTATGAACATATTTTTTATTTAAATTCAATTTTGTAAATCGCAACTAATTGTTGAAAATGTTTTTGACAATTTACTTTACAAACAATAAAGAAAAAAGTTTAAAACCATATGATTGTCACTTACACCTTATTTAATACACCTTGGTTTATGTTTACCAAATTTTCCAGTTGGGCTATTTTTAAAAGCATATTTTGTCATATTTACACGAATATTACATTGGAATCAAATCAGCTAGGTTTTGTAGTTAACTTGTATAAATATCACCTTGGGAAAATCCCATGGCAAAATAATAAAGGTAGTCTCATTTCGAAAATTTGAATCCAACAGTGTGCTTTTTGTACCTTAGCACGTCTGATACAACATGAATGTTGTTATTGTTATTGAATATCATCAAAACGAAAAAAAAAATTTCTTTCTGTTCCAGTACTTTTTTAATAGTAAATATAGTAAAAGGGAAACATTTCAAAATTGCTCTCAGAGTACAAAATAATTTGAAAAGTTCGGGAACGCAAATCTAGTAAACGTACCAAAATTGGATGGCAATACTTCAAAATCAACATAACTGCCAATCAGAAGTAGGCATTCCTGTTTACCATTTTACTCGGCCAAATTTCTGGAGTTTACAAAGAAAACGCCATTTTATTTTGTGCTCTCTTAAATTTGATTCAATGTTTTACAAGTTTTTAGGGTTGAGGAACGGTTTTCGAGTAAAAAGTTGTAAAACATGTGAAATGAGTAGATTCTATTAGGTTCTGGAACGGAACTTTTGTTTCAATTTTGTTTTGTTTTGTGTTTCATTTCGTTTGTTCGAAAAATAAAATAAGGAATATTTAATGATGTGCATTAAATATTTCACCGAACACCGAAAAGAGGCGATGGGAACAGAGAGGAAACCCAACATAAGCATTTTGAATTAAGGATACCTTCAGCTATTTTTTATGAAGTCATTTGCTGCATCTTTAAGAATATTATTACGTCCTTTATATGAATGTAATCAGCTCTTCGGTTAAAAGGGATGTTTACCTGCTTCTGTTGGTCAATTTGTACCGCATTTTTAACGTGCCGTTTAAGACCCAGCAGCCAGAATCAACGTGCCCAAAAGTAATAACCTTCGACTGGCTTTGAATCCGACCACTGATTCTTGCTGCAAGGCAAACGCATCACCCACACTGTTTGCATCCAATTCATAAAGGCAATTGGTGAACCTCACACCCGCACGTTCAATCTCTTTCAACTCTTCAATAAGAAGATCTCAAGCTCTACGGTAATAAGATATCCATGTCTTCTATAAGAAGTCCTCTATCTCTTCTATAAAAATACATCCAGCTCCTCTATAAGAAGACTTCCAGAAGACACAAACTCGTCTATAAGAATACATCCAGATGGAACCTAACCTTTAACACTTAATAAAACACATTAAGCACTTATAAATAATCGGCAACGAATTTATTTTATTTCACTGCCATATATGTATATATCTTATGTGGAATATATTCTGCCTTTTTTTAAATGATGTTGCTCAACTGCATTTGGACGATGAAGACAGCATTTCTTGAAAAATAACGTTCTTTCTGAAAATTTTTAATGTTATTATTAATTGATAAATATTTATTGAATGACTTACGTTGGGCGGCTGTACTATCTGAGTTGCATTCTCCAGCTTTCACATTCTCCAGCTTTCACAGTTTTCGGAAAACGTTTTTTAAAACAAAAGGTTACCTTATTTGTTGTATCATGGGAAACTCCCATGGCATAATTATACAAGATAGTCTCATGCAGTCATATGTTTCCAATTTTCATAAATTTGCCATTAACAATATTCAGCTTTCAAAATTTAAATGAAAATATCTCCCTTCGAAACGTACGCATATCATGTGTTCAGTGGCAACAATTGCTAAATAATTTATATTTATAAATATTTTTAAGTTCCCAGCCTCTAAAAATTATAGGCATAAGATGTAAATCTTGAGAGCAAATTATGCCATGCGAAACTCCCTTTCTCACGCTAAGAATCCAATCATGATGCAATAAATAATAAGGTGATGTATCAAAACAAAAACATTTTTTGTCTCGATTATCTGTCAAATTTTTCCTTATAATATTTCAAAAATTTGGCAGCATTGCACATCGAATTCAAGCAAAATTTACCACTTTGACAGTTAATCAAGACCTATTCATTGTGCCATGAATCCAATCTTAAACTTCTGCCTATGAATGTCTGGTGTAAACACAATACCATGTGTTTGTACACACCTGTATCTCATTTATTTACGTGGCATCTCTTTGTCTTCGTTTATGTTTTGACATTGTCATGTGGCATCTTTGTTTGTTTTTCATGTTTTGACAGCACCACGATACATACATATATCAGTGTAGCGTTTTTATAAAATTTTTCTAAACGTGCTTCCACATTTCTCCCACAAAAATATGTCGAAAAAAGATAAAAAGTTAAAGAAAGCGAAACAAAGTTCCGACACAGAATCTGACCAACAACAAACAAATGACCAGCAACAACAAAACGATTCGGAATTTCCCACAGATTGGGATGTGGAAGTTTACCGCCGAGAATATGAAAGTGAAGAACATTGGTTGCTGAGGAAACGTTTCATGGAAGTACACAAGGACAAATTTCCCGAAGATAAGCTGGTCTGTTTGGCTCAGGTCTTCACAAATATGGAATTTATGGGTTGTAAATATCCCGCCGAAACAATGGCAATGGTGGCAGAACTATCTAAAGAAGTGGCCAAAGAATTCCGTGAGGGCAGAGCAAATCGTCTAAAACGGACATTTGTTGCGGCCTCCGATGCTGCCGAGGCCCGGGCTAAAGGTAGACGTAAAAACAATTAACAAAGCTATTCAATTTTTATGTTTATTTTTAAGTACAAATAAGTGAGTAGTAGTTCTAGTAGACCTAGAAATGGATATGTCTAACGATTGAACGAATGCGTATTTCTTGTGCCAATATTTTAGGACGCAGATCGACGCAGCAAACAAACGAGGGTCAAAATACCCAACAATTACAGGGTCAAAAGAGAAAACATTTTGATATAGGCGGGGATAATATGGACGAAATGCAAGCACCACCAGCGAAGAAGACACCACAAACAGATTTATTTGCTGGTCTAAAATATAATCGATTTATTGTATTTTTAAATGGCGGACGTCAATGTCTGCAACTTTCTGCCCAGCGTAGCAATGTGTTGTATGAAGAAAAAGAAGTTCCCGCTGAAAATAATATCAAGTAGGTGGTTGGATATTGGATATTTTAAATGTGGTTTTGTGACACGAATATGATTCTTGTGTTTTAGGAAAGTCGAAGTCCGCCTTAATAATCAAGTTGTGGCCGTTGCAACAGGAGAAAACTTAAAGACTGCCAAGGCAAATGCATTTAATAAGGCATTGGAGACGTTGCAAACGGAATGTTATAGTATAAAGGTAAGTAGAAAAGTTCTTGGACTCATCCATTGCACACATCTTCCTCCCTCATATCATATTCCTCAATTTTTGTCCTCTACCGTTAGCAGCTTTATGCTCTCTCTCGTTATTTCTGTAGAGTGTCATACATTAATTACCCTAGCACCTTGCTTATCTGGCTTTTTATACTGTCATTAACATTAATGAGGAAATGAGAAAAAATAAAACGCTTTCAATACAAAAATAAAGCACACTTAAATTTAAATAGCCAATGCATCCAACGCCCCCGTTTAAAGGGATGCCTTCTGATCTCCTTTGTTGTGGTCGAAATATTTTCCCATGTCCGTCCGTTGTCATATACAGATCGTAACATTTAAGAAAGAGCTTTGAAATTGTAAACTCACATTACTACATCTCCTAGGAGAAATTGGATATACAGTGGTGGCCACAGAATTAAAACATTTACTGTGGTAAACATTTTTTGATCAGCCCTCGATTCGTTTGAAGTATTTTTGAAAATTTTTTAATTCAGAACACTTCGATATACTGCACTTAAGAGATTTAGTGTGGAAATGGAAAATTATTTCATGCAATTTTTCCATAAATAACGGTTTTTATGAAAATACATCGACTTTGAAGTGGCCATATAATTAAAACATTGTGTAATTTTTTACTTTACTGCATTTTTTTTTTAATATTTTTTAAAAAAGCTCTTTTTAAATTATGTAAACTAAGCACCGATAAAATCATTTACTGATAAAAATTTTTGAAAAAAATCTGTAAAATCTATCAAAATTGCCAACAATTTGTACAGTACACCTAACATTCAGAAAATCACCTTTATTATAGAAAATAAAGGTCCGAATGCACCAGAAATTGCTAGAATTAGTAAAAAACAATAAATAATTCTCAAAATAAATAAATATTTGAAATAAAAACTCAAAAAATGGGAATTAACCTAAAGGAACGATTCAATTTCAATAGCCTTTACTGAAGAAGGCCGGAATATTTTTGCAGTATGTGAGAAAATATCGATTGATATTGGTATTTATTATATCAAATCGATTGTTCGAGTAGTACAGAATATATTTAATCAAAAAATTTATCAGTCACAACAGAACGGACAGAGATCAACACCTATGTTGACGAGAAAACGTTTCTGGTACACAGCAGCATGTTTGATGGTTAACTCTTGACCCTTCAAATCTATTGAACATGACAATATTTTTCCAAAATAATATTTTTTGGAGAGAATAATGCCCATTTAATCTATTTTAGCCTAAAAGAAAGAAAAATTTTACAATTTGACAAATATTTAAAGTCTTGTGTTGAGCATCAAAAATGCTGCTGTGTGGCGGAATCTTTTACTCGTCAACATAGGCATTGATCTCTGTTCTTTCTGTTGTGACTGGTATATTTTTTGATAAAATATATTCTGTACTACTCGAACAATCGATTTGATGTAATAAATGCCAATATCAATCGATATTTCCTCACATACTGCAAAAATATTCCGGCCTTCTTCAATAAAGGCTATTGAAATTGAATCGTTCCTTTAGGTTAATTCCCATTTTTTAAGTTTTTATTTCAAATATTTATTTATTTTGAGAATTATTTATTGTTTTTTACTAATTCTAGCAATTTCTGGTGCATTCGGACCTTTATTTTCTATAATAAGGGTTATTTTCTGAATGTAAGGTGTACTGTACAAATTTTTGGCAATTTGATAGATTTTACAGATTTTTTTCAAAAATTTTTATCAGTAAATGATTTTATCGGTGCTTAGTTTACATAATTTAACTAAATTAAAGAGCTTTTTTAAAAAATATTAAAAAAAAAATGCAGTAAAGTAAAAAATTACACAATGTTTTAATTATATGGCCACTTCAAAGTCGATGTATTTTCATAAAAACCGTTATTTATGGAAAAATTGCATGAAATAATTTTCCATTTCCACACTAAATCTCTTAAGTGCAGTATATCGAAGTGTTCTGAATTAAAAAATTTTCAAAAATACTTCAAACGAATCGAGGGCTGATCAAAAAATGTTTACCACAGTAAATGTTTTAATTCTGTGGCCACCACTGTATCTGCCCACGTTTAAGAATGGGTCCCATGTGCCTTACCGGCCTATTTTCGGTAGTTTTAATGCTTGAATTGCATTTTGCAATAGCAGAGGTTATAATTTGTCCGGAATGCCATGCTCTTGTAACGAGCAAAGTGTCGTTATTTTTTTTTTTTTTGTGAGAAACATCTTCGGAGAAAATGAACAATGTGTTCTGAATATCCCTCATATGTATGTTAAAGGTCTTAGCCGAAGTTTACAATTTGAGTATGTAATTTCATTTCTCATTCATAAATATTTTCAAACTGTATTTTTTTAGCAAAATCCCGGCAGAAAAACAATTAAAATTGAGAAGGACAACAACAAAGCTGTTTGTGAGGTTATAAGTAGTGAAGTGGATGCAGCATCTGAAGATAAGAAATTGGACGATAACAACAAAGGTTTTAGAATGATGAAAATGATGGGTTGGTCAGGTGGTGGTTTGGGCTCAAAAAAACAAGGACGTGAAGATCCAGTTGCGTAAGTAAAAAAATCTACACAACTTAGATTCGTCATAATTCAAACCAATCAACTTATCTTTTTTTCTACAGTTACTTGTTTAAAAGTAATCGTTCCGGTTTGGGAAAGGAAGATTGTAAAATGGATAAACAATATTTTAAAAACATATTGAGAAACTATGTTGAATCAGAGGATATACGAGAATTGCAATTTGAACCAACCTTTACCAAAGAAGAAAGAGCATTGCTACATGAGTAAGTTGGTCAGAAAATAATTCTGTATACGTTTTCCTAATTTCTATGCCTCCCATTCTCCATTTTATAGAATTGCGAAAAATTTCAACTTGCGGTCTTCAAGTTATGGCCAGGGAGAACAACGACGTTTGATTATTACCAAAAAGACCATCACCGATAATCAAATATTGCACGAAGTGCTCATCAACAAAAATCCACGTTTTATGGATAGATATTTGGTACAGGTGCCGCAGTCTAAAAGTGAATTATTTCCTGATCACACCGAGACCCTGACCCTGTAGATAGTTGTAAACACAGCATATTTGCAAAGAAATATGTAAATGCCTTAGAAATAAGTTTAATTTGCTGCGTTAATTAAAAGATTTGTCATAGCTATATAGAAAATGTTAAGAAAAGTATTCTGTAAGCAAATTTTCAAATAAACATTTGAATAATTAATTTCATATTAAAATCGTCTTTATTTTCTTTCTTTTTAAATTTCCATAAGCATTTGTAACAATGCTATATACAGTAGCAGTTGATTCCTGAAACGCCAGTTATAGTTTATTTTTTCACTGCCCCCAAACGACTTGGATCCTGACTGGGATAATGCACTTGTCCAGGAGCCCCACCAGCTATACCCGGCGGTGGTGGTATGGAATCTAATGATGTTGAGGCAGCCGATGCTGCTGCAGCAGATGTTGAAGCCATTGGCATTGAATATGGCGCAGCATAGGCCTGCGAGTATAGCTGCTGATATGATGAGGCGGGTATTAGCGATGGAGGTATTTGATGCAACTTCATCCCGGGAGGTAGTACGGTAACTTGTTCTTGTTGTAAATTAAAGAAATCATTTGGATTTGTAGCGGTGGCGGGTGGTATAGCATTCAACTCAAAACGACGATCGGTCTTGGCCGCTCCTTGCTTAGCTTGGGAATGTGCCCATTTAATTGTGACCTTCTTGCCTTGCAAAATTAACTTGTTGAAACTCTTTTCTGCAGCCAATTCAGCAGCTGAACGTTTTGTGTACTGCACAAATGCACATTGTTGGCGTGGAACTAAAGCTATTGAACGTATTTCACCAAATTGATAGAAATGATCTCTCAACTCGGGTTCAGTAATATCTTCGGGTAAATTACCCACATACAATGTAGTAATGTTGCGATCCTCTGGTGGTTCCAGTGTCGGCAGAGAAGCTGCTCTCTTCATAATTTTCTCAGCCACCGGATCATTACGTCCATAATAACGATCCTTTATATTTTGTTCGCATAGTGGATCGTCGGGTTCATTAGGTTTGTCATGCCGATAAGGACACTCCTCACCTCTCTTACACTCACCCTTAACCCAAAATGAACAAATATGTGGTCTGTTGCGTTTGTAGTAGGGGGCTGTGCGTGCCAATTTCGACAGCATATCACTAGCAGCCAGAGATTTTCCAACTTTTCCGGCCGCCTCAGTGCCATCACCATCTTGCAATTCACGATCAATATTTTGTATATAGTACTCCTTGTTGACATCACTTTGAGGTAAATTATCAGCCACCTTGAGGGCAGCATCTCTCACCTGAATAGGCAGGCCATATTCCAAATCGAGTAGACAGGTTTGGCATACATTCTTCAGTCGGGCACATGTTTGACAGATTTCAGTTTTCTTGAAACGCATTCTGGCTCCCGGACACCATCTGAATATGGTAAATGGCCGTGTACATATTTTACATTCTTTGCCAAAGCGTTCTTTTATCATACGAACATATGGATTATCGCCCAAACAAGTCTGACACAATATAGGAAATTCAGCATCCTCCCAATTCTGCCGATTATAGGTGTTGGTCGTCTTGGACATAGACATTTTCGCTTTGGGTTATTTTCCTAATGGTTGCTTAAGTATTTCAACACTTTTCACGATTTTTTCTCCATATAAATTATATACAAAACGAAAATGAAAAACTATGCCACAAAGACTACGCGTGAATTGGTATGACGGCTGATTAATTATTAATTAACAGAGTTGCCAGATTGTTTCGGATATGTAGTGACAGTGAAATGGCGTGTTATGGCTATAGCGCATTTACATACGCACTTTATATGATGTGGATTTACGAAATTCTGAAAATAAATGAAGATTATGTACACTGGCTTTGAGATCATTTAAATTGACTGTCATAGTACGTTTACATTTAACCGAATTTCGTAAACCCAGTGGGTTTCAATGGGTTTTTATTTCCTCAAACAAGTTTCGGGTTTATCTTAAATGAAAATCATCTGAAAAAGAGAAGATAATTTTGGCCGCTTAGTGCTTAATTTAATATTAAAAAGTGTAGTTAGTTAATACGCACGAAACCATGATGCAATAATAAGGTGATGTATCACAACAACAACCTCTGATTTTTGTCTCGATTATCTGTCAAATTTTTCCATATAGTATTTCAAATGGTTGGCAACACTGCACATCGAATTCAAGTAGAAATTACCCACTTTGACAGTAAATCAAGACATCAGCTGCGCTAAATGGACTACCTATTCCATGATGCAATAATAAGGTGATGTATCAAAACAAAAACTTTTGTTTTTGTCTCGATTATCTGTCAAATTTTTCTTTATAATATTTCACATGGTTGGCAACATTGCACATCGAATTCATGTAGAATTTACGCACTTTGACAGTTAATCAAGACATCAGCTGCTCTAAATGGACTACCTATTCATTGTGCCATGCACGGAACGACTAGTTTAATGAGAACAGTTGCAACTTTTAGTACTTTATGACACAAAAACAGGATTGTATATCAAAGTATGGGTTTTTAGTGCATTATTTAAAATAAATAACGCTGGAATCGCCATTTATTTTTGTATGGTAAATGACGAAAAACTGTGCCGGTTTCAAATTTTTATTGAAACACGAGAACAGTTATTTATGTGTTAATCCCTGTGGCAACAATGCGTAATGGCCTAATCATAATATTCGTTGGCAACATTACAAAAACAGCTGATGTTAGTAAACAAACTAATTATAAACAAGCATTTGGAAAACGTTTTACAGAGCATAGTTTTTTCAGTAATCCTGAAAAATTAAATTAAAATGTCCGCATCAACTTCAGATCCTCCCATAAAACGTTACCGCAGAGAGGAAGAAGAAAAATCCGACTTTGAAGAAGACGATGACAAATATGTACCATATGTTCCGGTAAAAGAACGCAAAAAGAAACAACTCATGAAATTGGGTCGCATTGTCCAACTGTCCACCGAAGATGCTAAACCCAAATCATCAAGTGAAAATGAAAACGATGAAGATTCACAAAATGCCACAGATCCTGAAGTCTGGGGGCGTAAATATAACATTAGTTTATTGGATCAACATACAGAGCTAAAGAAAATTGCCGAAGCGAAAAAGATAAGTGATGTTGAAAAGCAACTCAAAGAAGAAGAGAAAATTCTCGAGAGTGTCCAACAACAGAAAGCTCTCATGGGTGTAGCTGAATTGGCCAAGGGTATACAGTATGATGAACCGATTAAGACAAGCTGGAAACCACCACGTTATATTATGGAAATGACGGAACAGAAACGTAATGCAATCCGAAAACGTTTAAGGATATTAGTGGAAGGTGTAGATGTTGCGCCGCCAATACGTAGCTTTAAGGAAATGAAATTTCCTAAGGGTATATTGAACGGCTTGGCGGCGAAGGGTATTAAAAAGCCAACACCTATCCAGGTGCAAGGAATACCCACAGTACTTTCGGGACGAGATTTGATTGGTATTGCTTTTACGGGTTCGGGTAAAACATTGGTTTTTGTTTTGCCCATTATTATGTTTGCTCTGGAGCAGGAGTATCGTTTGCCATTTGCTCGTAATGAAGGTCCATATGGTTTGATTATTTGTCCGTCGCGTGAATTGGCAAAACAAACAAATGATATTATTATGGTAAGTGTGTAAATGAAATTTTTATAAAAAATATAAAAATTTCATTTACACTTAATTCAAAAGTCTATGTGGATTTTTTATATATGTATGTGGATGATAAGAACTGCATTAACATGGTTTTTTTAACTATCATCTGAACTGTTTTCAACAAAACATCGCCTACTTCTACTGGACTCAGAATGATGCGTACAATTTTGTCTCAATCGGACAAATATTGGGAGTTTGGTGCACCATTTACATAAAATCGGGAGAAAATATATATGGGAGCTATATCTAAATTTCAACAAAACGTCACAGACATCAAACGGGACTTAATAGTGCGCTGTGCAAAATTTTTACTCAACAGGACAAATATTGGGACTTTGGTGCCACATTTACATTAAATCGGACGAAACAATATCTAAATCTGAACCGATTTCAACAAAACTTCACAGACATCAAACGGGACTTAACAGTCCGCTTTGCAAAATTTTTACTGAATCAGAGAAATATTGGGAGTTTGGTGCACCATTTAGATAAAATCGGACGAAAATATATATGAAAGCTATATCTAAATCTGAACAGATTTTCTTCAATTCTAATAGGGTTCGTCCTTCAACCAAATAAGTGACGTGTGCCAAATTTCATCCAAGTCGGATCATAAATGCGACATGTACATTGTTCACAATAATACATGGACAGACGGAAATGCATAAATCAACTCATATTTCTATGTATATTCTCAAAATTCCACGGCTTCCATTTAAGGTTTAAATAAGCAAGATTTGACCATCATTGACCAAGACTTTTTTTACTCAAGTGAAATGACTTGAGTCATTTTAGAAGCCAAGTGATTCCTTTTTCATACTGCGCCATATGAATAACATGTCGCATAACACTCGTATTGCTTACTTGTTACCTTTGTGTGGCAGTGGTTGTTGATGTTTGGATATTTAGTCTAAGACTCCATCTATTGCTATGTTAGGTGGTAGTTAGCTTTGCTTCTTGAATCAAAGATGGCCTTCAGAATATTAGAAGATATATAAGACATTCAAAACATCTTCCCACAGAAAAAACGTTTTTTTCCACTATTGTTAATCAATATATTTATTCTTATACTATTCTTACAGCATTATAGTCGCCATTTGGTTGAATCGGGTATGCCTGAAATACGTTCGTGTCTAGCCATCGGCGGTATACCAGTTTCGGAAGCCATCGATATTATATCAAAAGGTGTACACATTATGGTTGCAACTCCCGGCCGACTTATGGATATGTTGGAAAAGAAAATTGTCACGTTGGATGTTTGTCGTTATCTGTGCATGGACGAAGCTGATCGTATGATTGATATGGGTTTTGAAGAAGATGTACGTACAATTTTCTCATTCTTTAAGGCACAAAGACA